AATTTTTTTTTTTTTTTTTTTTTTTTTTTTAATAATAATCTGTAAATACACTGGAAACTCCAGGTAAAATTTGCTGCCTTTACTAAAAATGAGATTACGTTAGATGTAAACTACCCCCAGACATGGACACAGCAGTACAGGACTGGCTAAAGCTCCCATCTTTCCACCTTCCCTCACTGACACTTGAACAGTGAAATGACAGAAAAGACAGCTACAGCTTCATATCCCTACCACCTCTGTCTGGGACACAGAGCTAAAGGCAGTCACACATGATGCTTCTCTCTCAGCTTTGCCTGTGGTTCTCAGAGCAAGTCTCCCTGAAAGCAACCAATACGTGGTCCTAACCTTTCTCTGCTGAGAAGGGAAGGAAAGAAACCCCCTTTTGTGTAAGGAACTCAAGAATCGGTCCCTAAGCCATAAGCTTAACCACAAGCAACTCCCTCTCCAGACAAGCCCATCTCCCCCCACTCTGGCATCAGTACCTCCAAATATACCATAGAAGACACAGGATGTCACAGCTTTAAGCTAGTAACAAAATAATTCCAAAGTACTTTTTCAACTATACATGTTTTTGTTCAAGCCCTAAAACTGCAAGGATGCTCTTTCCTGCCTGAGATAGCTTAGAGTAGAACAAGATTCCTCATATCAGTAAAATTTAGCAGGATCAGACACTGAATTTCATTAAAATGTATAAGCTTGATATTCTACACTCTGCATGCTCGACTGAAATTATGATACCTTCACCAATCTATAAAATGCAAGGAGAAAATCATGCTTCATATGTCATACTAGTATTACAGCAAAACACTGTTGTTTTTCACCTCCTCTTTTCCTATTCTGCAATTTCAGACTCTTCAGTTTGGTCCCTGATCACACATTTGCCGAGAGCTATTTGCAAATTTATTTCCACAAAGTTTACAACAAAGCGACCGATGACAACAAGCTGCGGTCTGTTCAAGCTTGCTCCTTCCCATTGACATCTGCTTTCATGATACTGATCCTTCTCAAATCACTAAAGGTGCACCTTTTGGACACCTTAAATCCTGCTCAGCTACAAAGTCTCATCACCTTCAAACAACTCTCATCAAATAAACCTCTTATTAACTCACATCGAATTAATTCAAAATGATTTTTTTCTATTACCATATGCTTCAGAGCACAGCACATATTGGTACTTACCTACCCACTGGAGTAAATCTAACCTTTTCTACGGGTATAAAACAGGCACTTGGCCATTTCAGTGAGTTTAAGAGTGGCATTTCAAAATAGATTGTTTGAGCCTACTTCCAGGTACTTACTTCATTTTAAGCTCACTAGTGGGGTAATCACATACTTTGAGGAAAAACCGTAGTCTAAAGATGATCTGCCTAAAGAGGCTACACAGAGTGGAATATTACGGTACCTTGCAACCAAAATGAAGAATTCCAAAACTGCTTTTATTTAAGGGTGCCCAAGCACAGGAGTGCTGCTCTGCATTTCTTACTGGCCTGCTGCAAAAGAGCTTGCTCCTACCTGACCTCCACTGCCATCCATCCAGGATGAGGGAGCCCAAGAAAGCAAAGATTCCCTTGGCTCTGGCTTCCAATCAAGCATCTAAAAAATACCCTGTAAACATGACAACCTGTTAAACCTCAACGAAGCTTTTGAAACAGGAACATTAATATCACTGATATTTTACAGATAAATAAAATTATGTACAGAGAGATGCAAAAATCAAGGTGTTCAAGGTGACATGCAGGCAGGGCACTTAAGTAGTGAATGAACCTGGTTTCTCTTGATGTCCAGGCCAATATCCCCCTCCTGTATGTACTTTAGTAGAGAGCGGCACCCTCGCCAAGGCGAAAGGCTAAGATCCTGTAATTAAATAAGGTATAGAAAGAGCACCTCATGCAAAAGTCTAAATGCTCCAATTTATCATGACAGTCATGGGACAAGCTGGCATTTTATTTGTATGTAAATTAGTCTCCAAAACAGCATAAAAAGGCCACACTTTCAGAGAATATTGTGCCTTTGCTTCTCTGTTCTGTATTTATCTAAACTCAGCTTTGTG